ACCGAAAGGCATCACTGAATACTCATAATGTCCATAACACGTTCTGAAAGCCGTCTTCTGAATATCTTCATCCTTCACTTTAATCTGATGGTAACCCGACCTCAAATCAATCTTACTAAACACACGAGCATCCACCAATTGGTCCATCAAGTCATCTATTCGTGGAAGCGGATACTTGTTCTTAATCGTCACCTTGTTCAACTGTCTATAATCAACACAAAGCCTCATACTTCCATCTTTCTTCTTCACTAACAACACTGGAGCACCCCACGGCGATACACTTGGTCTTACAAACTTCTTCTCAAGTAACTCTTCCAATTGCTTCTTTAACTCTGACAATTCAGATGCAGACATCCTGTATGGTTCCATAGACACAGGTCTGGTACCAGGTACAAGATCAATTGCAAATTCAACCTCCCTCTCTGGCGGTACATCAGGAATCTCATCAGGGAAAACTTCAGGAAATTCACACACCACCTGCAATTCCTCAATTATAGCTTGAGTCCCTACAGATAGCGACGCCATCAACGAGAACATATGTGCTTCCTCTTGCATCAACTTTCTCAACTGTCTAGCAGACAACAGACTACCTCCCTCTTCTTCAGGAATAGAAAACCTCACAGACTTGTCATAACCGTTAATATGAACACAATTATGCTCTAACCAGTTCATACCCAGAATCACATCCAAACCTCTTAACGGTAAACAAACCAAATTAACAACAAAGTCTCTGTCAAAGATCGACAAGGGACACTTCAAACACACAGAAGAAGTAGTCACCAACCCCTTGGCTGGAGTATCGACGACCATTTCTCCATTCAAAGAAGACAACATAAGACCTAATCTTTCAACACAATTAGCAGCAATAAAACAATGCGTAGCACCAGTATCAATAATAGTAATTAAAGGAGTATTATTAATGAAACATGTACCTCTGATAAGTCTGTCCTTAACAGCTGTCTGATCCTCCACTAAAGCAAACACCTTTCCACTAGACTGAGCTCTTTTCGGTTTCGGAAACTGGCTACCAATGTGCCCTTCTTCTCTACAATTGAAACAAATCACATCCTTGTATTCACACTCAGATACAACATGTCTGTTCTTACCACAACAGAAACACCTCTTCACTTCAGTAGTGCACACATTACTCTTGTGTCCAGGTTTTCCACACTTAAAACAAACCACACCAGCAGGAGCATCTCCCCCACTAGTCCTCTGGCTTTGAGCAACTTTCTGTTTATCTTTACCAACTGGGGCATCATAAGGCTTACCACGATTCTGTTGGTGCTTACCCCTCTTCTCACTGATAATCTTGTAATGAGCATTATTATCCTCTTCATAAATCCTGCAGCTATAAACCAAATCAACAAAAACATGGATTTTCTGATATCCAACCGCCTTCTTAATATCCGGGGCAACCCGTTCTCAAATTTAATACACTTCGAAAACTCAGCATTTGCTTCAGCGTAATGCGGATAAAACTTAGCCAACTCAGAAAACTTGGCAGCATACTCAACAACTGACATACTTCCTTGCTTCAGCTCAAGAAACTCAATTTCCTTCTTACCACAGACATCTTCAGGAAAGTACTTTCTCAAGAATTCCCTACGGAACACAGCCCAAGTGACATTCTCACCTGCAGCTTCCAACTTCTGACAAGTCTCTAGCCACCAGTCATCAGCCTCGACTGCTAGCATATGAGTACCATAACGAACCTTCTATGCTGGAGTGCAGTCCATCACACGGAAGATTCTCTCAATCTCTTTCAACTACTCCAATGCTTCTTCAGGATCATACTTTCCCTTGAACGTAGGTGGATTCTCTCTCTGGAAAGTCGCCAAGCTACGAGATCCAGCATTCCCGTCAACATTCGGCTGATTCTCCATCGCATGAGCCATTGCTTCTAAAGCAGCAACAAGTGCAACATTATTCCTTCCAGACATCTCAACTTCTCACTACAACATAAACAACGATTAGAACTCAAATTAACAATACTCGAATGTTAGAGAACTACGACTCGACGACAAGGTCGGACCAACCTTTTGCTCTGATACCAACTTTGTAATACCCCAATTCCACCCCAAGCAATTATATAAAATAAATCAGAGTTATAAAATTCAATCATGCAAACGAACCAGGGCGTCACAAATTCTTCTATAAAACTCATTGCATTCATCGTGGATATATAACACTTTCAAAACATCGGATGTACCATCATAACATCTTTAATTAAATAACTCAACATCTACACAACGGAATTCTCAATAACAATTTTATCATCAATACAACAACTTCAAAACAACACAATTTAATAATAATCAACAATCAAAAACAACAAGCGTTCATCCCCACGAGTGTTACATATCAGAGCAATGACACCGACTCGAACTACTGAAGGTATACAGCCTTCACTCTCGATTACCTGCACGTTACCAACATAAGGGAAACATTCAAACAGAAGGGGTGAGATATCTAACAATATAGTAAAGCGCATGATAATTAATATATTAAATTAGATCAATACACATCACCACTTTGCATCTCGTAATCAACAATAATCACAATAATAATATACATTCATAGCATCTCACACACTTCTTTATGCAATCATATAATGCGACTCAATACTATGCAAATGCATGTGGTACTATTGGAGCAAAACTCCCATCTCAAAATTTTTCCAATTAATAGAGGCATCAACAAGGCATAGTCTTCATCTCAAAATTCGCCAATACACGCCATCTCAACGAGCATAAGCTCCATCTCAAAAAAATGCAATGTATGCGACACAATCATGAATGTAATAACAACACCCAAGTTAACAACATCTCAAATTAACAACATCTCAAATTAATAACATCTCAAAAACATCTCAACGTCTATTCATCAACATCTCATATCATCATAATAATTCATCAAACATCATTTATTTATTATAATTCATCAACACAACATCATTAACAACTTCTCACTAACAACTCAGTTGTACATTAATACCATAGTAATTCATACTGCTATTCTATAATTCTTATATCATTACTGTCACTAATCCTACTGTTATAATTCTAACAGCAACCTCTAGGCATCTAATTTGCATCATTCTTTTCAAAACCAGCGCAACGATCAACACGGGAATTAACTCTAAATCCTAAATTGGCTACTAGGATTACACTTCCTATTATTCATTTTAATCCTCTAGAATAATGTTCATCGCGTTAGCTATCCAACACTTCGAACGACATCTCAAACGACATCCTAAAACTCAAGTTACAACACTTAAAACTGAATCTGCCAAAAATCAGGCATTATGGGTCGACGCAAAACCCCTTGGATCGACGCGTACTGCTCTAACTGCACAACATGAGTCGACGCATCCTCTCATGGATCGACTCATCCCGAGTCTTGCACACCGCATGTATCAACACATGCATCCCACAGATCGACTCATCCTGAGTCTTTCAACCTTTATGTATCGACGTAAGCCTCTTCGTGTCGACTCATACTGAGTCTCTAGGCCCTCATGTATCGATGCATCAAGTTTGAGGTCGACACATCCTGATTCTTCCTGCATAATTCTGCGATTTTCTTCCCTGCATCTCACTACGAGATTCATATTTTTAACCCTACAAACTTAATATAATCACGATAAATCATCACCTACAATTATCCTATGATTCTTTATCGATCAAACAACATCGGGACATCATTATTCATCTAAAATTCATCAAATCTTCATCATTCATCATCATATACATCCAATTCAAGAACAAAATAGCAATCACCTCTAACCTCACATATCAATCATCATGAACCCAATTATAAAGTCAGAACCCCACCCTTACCTTGGATTGAAGGTCGCTCTATAATTTTCCAGTTGAATTCTCGTTCTGCCGTTTTTCCACTTTTTCCAACAGCTTCACGTTCTCTTTCTCAATCCTTATTCTTCTACTGCTTCTTTCTATTCTTTCTAACCACAATAAAATAACCTATTATTTGTTTATTCCTTATTGGACTCCAAACTTATACACCCCCCTTATTACTTTTATTCCTTCAAAATAAGCCCACACCAAGTAATATTATAATTCTAATATTATTTCTCCACTCAATAAACAAATCCAATTAATCACAACACATCTTCACAAATATTTTAAAAAATAATAATTTAATTAAATGATTAATTAAATTACGGACGTTACAGAAGCTGAGAAGAGAAAGCTAAAACATTATATTGAAAATGTATTGTAAAATTTAAGTTTAGACACACTCCAGGTTTGATTATCAAATGACGAATAGGTTTGAAGTGTATTTAAGCATAATTTCAGACTCACTGCTCAACTTCATTTTGGTTTGGTTTGAATTAACTAATGCTGAGAGAATTGTTGTAACACTTCTCTAAAACATTTGCTGTTGCAGAAGAAACCTAAATCATTGAGTAAATAGAGAAGAAGTGAAGATAACATGCCAGCTCACTTGCCACGTATGTAAAATTGACAGACGTTTAAACCCAATTGACATAAGAGACTTATTTATTATATTTTAAAAATTAATAGATTAATTTAATACGAAAAAAAGTTAAGAAACTAAATTGATATATATATATAGGCACGTGTGTTTCATGCACAATCCTAAACCCTTACTGCAAATCTAGGCAAAAGATACCATTATCTTTTGGTCCAAACTTATTTCTCAAAAAACAAAAAGTTATTACCTCAATGGAAAGTTTATTCAAGTTTCCAACAATAACATATTTATTTTTAAAAAATCGTTGTTTTGGAAAAATACATTTAAAAAGATATGTATTATGTATAAATTAAAATTAAAATTAAAATATACACATGTAATACACTACCTCCTATAAGCTATTACTTATTATCCGATAAAAAGAACAAAAAACGGTATAAATGTTTGTAAAGTTTATGTCATTCTAATGCTATATTGTATCACAATAATTTAGGATACATATGCATTAAATAACACCAAATAGCACCTTCTCAATCCCTCTAGTTTTCTATAGTACCAAACAAAGTTTCTATAAGATCCATATTCAATTCCTGCATTGATGAAATAATCTCATATTAGAAATATTTTCAAAAAAGTTAATTTTAATTAAAAAAAACATTTATATAACAAATGACTCACAGGATCAATAGTCGAGGTACTTGTTTTAGACACATTTTCTTCAATGAATCTACCATATGGTTCTCCATTTGAACATCCTTGTACTTGCAACTATATATCGCATAATAAAAACTTTAATAATATTATATTGCTGTTGAAAACTCAAAAAGTTATTTTTTTTTTTAAATTTAAAATCACATACCTTAATTAAAATTAACATAGAAAAGTAACAAGTTTTTTTACTTGATAAACTAGATTGAAAATATATAAAATATTAAACACAAAATTAAGTTTATTAAAAAATATGAGAATTTTTCAAGTGTTAAAGAAAGAATGCATAGTAAAAATATGCATCATTAAGTTAGTGTGAGGATTAATGAAACATACCTTATTAGAATTTTGATCTGAATTTATTGATGACTCGTTCAACACACAAGATGTGGTTTCAGCTGGAGGAGAGATACAATCACCTTTATATAGCTAATAAAAAATTTAAAAAAAAAATTAAATAATTGTTATAATAATACATGTAGATATAAACATAAGTATCAAACAACTAAAATGAGAGTCAACCATCAAAGTGCATATACACAATTTCATGATTTACAAACCTATATATATATATATATATATATATATATATATATATATATATATATATATATATATATATATATATATATATATATATATATATATATATATATACTAGAATTAAATAAAAATTTCCGTACCTTATTAAGAAGAACCACTTGGTTGAAGTCTCTCTTCTTATTGATGAAAGTAGAACCATTATATTTCTTCTCATTTTCCACAATATTTTTATTTTGAATGTTATTATTCAAGCCAAAACTATTGTTATTTGTAGTATCAACCCTATTTCCAACACTACTAAACCCTCTTATATTCATAGTTTCAGTTCCAACCGTTTCTAATCCATTGTTGATTTGAATTCCAAAAGGGTTTTTGTTGTTTCTTGGATCATAAGCAACATTTTGAGGCAAAATATTAGAACTTAGACTCAAAGATGCCAAGTTTTGATTTTTCACACCATGATTGATATGATTAAAAGAGTCATTTCCCATAAAACCATGATTTTGGTAACTAATGTCACCAAATGTCAAATCCCTTGTCATGAAAGATGAAGAATAAGGCCTAAATCCTTGTCCACTTCCATATGATGAAAAACTAGTTGAAGCACCATCATTGAATAAGTTTTTTGCATGAAACAATGAAAGGCTTGAAGGGTTTACTCCAAACATGTTTTGACCATGGACATTATAGTTCACAAAATCGGTTTCTAATTTCGATTTTCCAAATCTAACTTTGTCCGAATCTTGAAGAGTTAGCCTTTTTTGTACATAAGGGAACTGATCAAAGCGATGTGTTGGAAATTGGTTGTAAGGATTAAGAGCAATGTTTTCATCTCTTCCACGATATGATAATGATTGTAAATATTCAGGTGTCGATGTACGAAGTTTATTCGTTCTTATGGTTTGAAATTCTTTTACCAATGACATTGGTAAACTTGATGCAAATCTTGACCTTAGAGCTCTATGAGATATTCCTCCAACCATTCCTTTCTCAGCCACATCGTGTAGAAATATTCTATACTTCTGCAATTATTGTGTCATTATACTAAAACAAGATATATGAAAATTTCATAATGACAAAAAAATATATATTCATTTCATTCCACTATTATAAAAATATATATATAATAAATTGAGAAGAAAAACCTGTAGATGGCTGGCTACATTTTCTCTTGTTAAGTTTGGAATATTCATAATATCTAAAATTTTCTTTGGTACAGCCTCTGAAAAAGAGAAAAACAAATAAAAAACTAATAGTTAGTTATATATAAATAATAATTAAAAAGCCATAAACTTAATGTTACTAGATAAAAAATATGAAACATATCATAAGTGTCTAATATGAAAGTAACAATAATATATATTTTTTATTAGTGACATGTTATATCACATGATTAAAAACACAACATAAAAAAAAAATTCACAAATAATTAAAATTACAAAAAAAACATTGTAGAAATATATTATCTAACATTACTTACTTTCCAATCCAATTTGCTTAACGGCAAGGAGAAATAGATTGTGGAGATAAGTTGTCCAAACAAGTTTTGGTTTCTTAACAACTTGAGGTTCTTCTTCTCCTTGATATTCATCTATACACTTTCTCTTGCAACCCTTCTTTTTTCTCTTAGTATCATGACTCAATGTCTCTTTGTCTTCAGTTTTTACAAATAAACTCTCAACAAAAAGTTTCTCTTTTTTTGCATCCAAAACATATTTCCAAATATCTTTGAAATCTTCTGCACAAAAGGGTTTTGCAATATATTGTGCAGCTCCATTTTCTAAAGCCTTGGAGATTAAACTCACGTTGTTTTCTTTGGACATCACTGTTTGAAACAAGAGAGAAATGTCATATATTTATTGAATATATCTTACCTTATATTTTATAAATAATACATGATTTAACATAATATAAATGATGTCTCCTCTTGTGAAATTATATGTACTTGAATAATGTTAAGATTTAAATGCTATTATATTGGAGAGTTTGGATTCGAAGCATTAATGAAAATAATATTTCAGGATCGTAAGAGAGATGTCACGTCTTCACTCAAAATTTTAAGACATAAGATATATGTTATAAATTTAATATTTCACTCATTTATAGGTGATGTGAGACTTGATTATTCAAACTTGCACTCATTCATAAGCGATGTGAAAGTTGACTGCTCATCCTTACATCCAACAATCTTTTCTTCAAAAATGAGTCTCTTACATCCTATAATAAGATCTACTTGTTGGAGTGTATGGGAAAATCGTGAGCAACAAAGGACGTCAAATGCTCTAGGATCACAAAAGAGAGACTACATCTACACCCAAAACCTTAACGTAACAGACATGAGTTAGGGGTGTTCAAAAATATGATTAATTGAATTATATACTTGAATTGAACTACATTACACTATAAGAAAATCGTACCACTTAAATAGTTAATGAACTGAATCATTTAATTTAAACAATTTAATTTCAGTATAAAACTAGTTTTCATTTTATAAACCGATTTAATTGTATAAATTAATTTCTAATAAAAAGAATAAAAAATCAATTGATAGTAAAAAAAATTCTGAAAATAAAAAATCATAATTTTTTTGAAATATTTTTAGAAAATTAAAAAAAAAATTCTGAAAATTAAGAAGAAAAAAAACATTTTATTTAAAATAAAAAAATTCAAAAATAATTTTCTTTCTTCAAAATAATTTTTTCCCCTGAAACAAAAATATGAAAATAAAAAAAAAAAATTCCCAAAATATAACACACCCAATTGTAAGAAGAGGCTGCAACTTGCAAAGACACACCTAAAGCAAAGTAACATGACATTATCTCCCGACAATCAAACCCAAAAAGATATTGCAGCTAATTTACAAAGAAAAGTATGTTAAACTGCAGTACATAACTAAAGTTTAAAACATTTTTTTTAAATAAAAAATATATTCAAAAAAAAATTGAAAAAAGTTTATTATTTTTTAAAAATAAATATACTAAAATAATGTTTTTTAATCTAAATTTTTATGAAATTAGAAAAATTAGTTTTAAAAGAGTTTAAAATATAAAATTAGTTTAAAATTGCAAACTGATTAACAACTAGTTTAAAAATATAAATCGATTCTAAATTAGTTTTAAATTGAATTAAACTATTTTAATAGTTAATTGAATTTTTATTAAAGTGATTATTACAAACTGAAATGAATCATAAATGTAATTTGATTCACTGCAGTTCATGAACCATGAACATCCCTAATGAGTCACATTTCTTATAAATTCTAAATTTCATCAATTTATAAGCTATACGGGCCTTAATCACTCACGTTTGAACTCAACTATCTCCCCTATAAGTTTGAATATCTCATATCCTATAACATACTCTCCCTCCCTCGTCAATCTAAATCATGATTCAAATACTACTCGTTGGAGAGTCTGGAAAAGTCAAAAGCAACAATAAGAGTCTAATGCTCTAGAAACACAAGAGATAGACGCCATATTTCCACTTAAAATCTTAAGACATCGGATATATAAATTCTTTTTTTTATAAATATATCATTTTATCCGTTCATAGCCGATGAAAAGTTTAACGGCTCACATTTGCATTCAACATGCAAAAGTTAATTAAAATGACTTGATTAAATTATTTATTCAAACATGTTTTAGAATCCAAAAAAATTATTTATAGCTTAATATTTTCTTGATTTAATTTTACTTCCTAATCATTAGTGCATAATATATATAAAGTATTTGAAACATAACAACAAATTCTATATACATGAAAATGAAAATAAAAAAACTACAAGTTTGATGTGATGTATGGAATTGAACTTACTTATTACAGGTATATGGAATTGATTTTTAATAAGCTTTAAAAAATCAAAGCCATTAACTCCTAGCATAGATAACTCTGTAATTATAAGATCAATAAACAAGCCTTTAGAGTCTTGGAGAGTAACCAAAGCTTGATGAGCAGTCTTGGCAGTTTGAACTGAAATTCAAAAATGAATAAAAAACCAACAAATATATTAAATTTAGCAAAATGCAATTAAATGTTAGGACACTAATGAATTATAACTCTATATTATTTTAATCATTTAATCATGCAAAGCTAATAATTAAGATTAGACTAGTGGTCAAGAAATTATACAAAAATATTATTATATTCAATAAAAAAACATCTCTTATATATGTTAAAAAAGGAATAACAGCAATCAAAATGGAAAGAAGATAAAATGTACAAAATCCATAGAATTCAAAGGATCGAGTCATATGTGGAGAAGTGAAAATGAAAAGAAGAAAAAAAGAGTATTAAGATTTTTTTTTCTATGTGCTGTAATATATGAAAATTATTTATATAAATTTTCATCTAAAATTTATTTTCACTTAATATTTTATCCTTAGAAAACCATTGCAAATCCAAATCAATTCTTCAATATATGTATTTATATTAATAAAAATCAAAATTGAATTAAATGAACTGATATGATAATAGGGGATCAAACATAAAATAATGTGTTTATAAACATAATATATTTACAAACAAAAACTTACACATAAAACTCAATAATATATCCTTATTTACTCAAAAACCATGCAAATTGAATACACAATGATCGATCAATAAATATTAGTACATATACAATATTATTATTTGTCGTAAAAAATATACAATTTTTTTGAAGATATTTTTAAAATTCAACCAAATTATATATATTCAATTTTATAAAATTGTAATAAAAATAAAATATTTCAATTCCACAATAGTTAAATGATAATAAAAAAAAATACATACCTCGATATTGCAATGCCAGGAGTATATTAGCAAGATATTCCAAAGAAAAATCATCATGATCCACAATCAAAACTGTGATATTAGATCTATCACAGTCCATTTTATCTTTTTTAATCTACTAAATAACTATTTTGATATTTTACTGAATTTCTTATATGCTTGATTTGTACAAGCACATTGGAGGCATATATATAATTGAAGAGTATGTATCCCTTATATGCTTGATTTGTATTTATCCTCTTTTTATTTTATTTTATTATATTTTTTAATAGTGATTTTCAAAAGTAATAAAATGGAAAAAGAGAAATATGTTGAAAGTTGTCATTCATCATATTTTGCCAACTATGGGCTGGTTCACACAGAGTGTTCCTTCTATAGAAGATTTCACTATCTTTCATTTCTCTTTATTATTTTTACACTTTTTTACCAAATCTTTTAAAATGGATAGAAAATAACCTGTTAAAATACTCCATGATCGTTTTATTTGTTAAAAGCACTTTTTTGTTTAATGATAAGATGAAGAAATAAAATATTAATAAAAAATTGTTGTTCCAGTGTTCAATTTTTAAGATTTTTTTTAAATAATTTTTTTTTAATTATTTTTTTAAATAATCATTTTTTTTTTAAAAATTATCAAAGTAATCACTTTTCAAACAAAAAAATTTGTCACACAGAGGTCAAGCCATTTTGTGTGGCGCATGCATGTAAATTAGAGAGGAGGCGACACACTACATGGTTTGTCCTCCTATGTAATGTCATGCAGTGTGGCGCATACATGTAATTTTAAGAAGAAGGCGCTATATTAGATGGCTTGACAGTTGTATTTGATTTTCTATAAATGCAACCACCAATCTTCACCGTTTTTCACATCATTTCTCACATCACTCTTAGAAAATATCTTCCACTCCCTTGCCAATGTTTTCCACTCCATTGCCAAGGTTTTCACTGATCAAAAGAGATGCTCATGTTATTTTTTCGACAACAAAGTCTCTGATGAAGATCAAACTCTAAAACACGTAGACGTTCAAGCATTTTCAGAGGCACTTGATTCGCTGGTTGGAAAGAGACATTCCTGAAGGTGAACAGATCAGGAAAAATAGAAAGACAAACACTATGCCAAACAAGACTTTAGACAGCGCTTTAAAGCGCCGTATGTTCCAGCGCTGCTGTAGGTAAAGACAACGCTTTGTTAAAAGTAAAAGCGCTGCTAAATGCCCCCTTTAGCCAGCGCTTTTACTTTTAAAGCGCTGCTAAAGGCCCCCTTTAGCCAGCGCTTTTACTTTTAAAGTACTGCTAAAGGCCCCCTTTAGCCAGCGCTTTTACTTTTAAAGCGCTGTTAAATGCCCCCTTTAGCCAGCGCTTTTTCTGAAACAAAAAAAAAGCACCTTTAGGCAGCGCTTTTAATGTTAAAGCGTTGTCTAAAGCCCCCTTTAGGAAGTACTTTTTTTAAAGCGCTGCTAAAGGCCCCCTTTAGTCAGCGCTTTTTCTGAAACAAATTTTTTTTAAAAAAAAAAGAGCCCCTTTAGGCAGCGCTTTTACAGTAAAAGCGTTGTCTAAAGGGGGCTTTAGACAGTATTTTTTAAAGCGTTGTCTAATGTCCACACAATTTTTTATATAACCTTTTTGAAAAAAAAGCACTGTTTTTATATGCATGGATTTTAACCATATTCGCACCAGGTTTTCACCATATTTTGCACCTGTATATACCATTACAAATTTCACCATATTTTCACTAATATTGGAGCTTCAATCCAATAAAAAATAATACCAAAAGATACTGTACATTTGCACCAATGTACTTATATATACTATTACTTTTGTACATATATACTTTTACAAAAAAAACAATACTAAAACAACACCATTATATACCATTACAAAATCTACTCATCTCTATCTTCTACATATGCACATATAACCTGAAACAACACCAAAATATCGTAATTCATATCATGATACAAACAAAATATATATAATTTACCACATGATAAACAACAACAAAATTGCAACACTTGAATATACTCAAAATTCTCATCAATTAAAGTAAGAT